GACAAATTAATATCAGGACGTATTGACTAGAAATTATTCTATATATATTAGTAAAGTAATATAACTTTTACAAATTATTTACAAATTATTTAATTATTTATTTAATTTAAGTTCAAAAATATTGTAAGTAGAGCATAATAATAATATGCATTACACGTTTCAATTTAAGATCATTAAGATTAATTTGAATTTATAGTATTCTTTTAATAATAAAATATTTTCCCCGTGAGATTACTTCGTATAAGCTCATTCATCTTGTTTAGAAAGTACTAGAAGTATTCCTATAATTATTGAAAACCTCTTAAAAATATTAAAAAAAAAACAAAAAAACTCAAGAAAATTTTAAACATCCCCTTACAAAATTATGAAAAACTCTCTTAACATTTTTAATACTTTCTAAGTGAATGAGTTTAATACCAAACGGTCTCATAATGAAAAATAAAATAAAGCACAATATTTGTTTAAAATATTAATGAATTTATTGAATTTGTCTAAAGTATGAATGAATGTAATAGAGAAAATAAAATAAACCACAATAGTTGATGATATAGTTTTCTCCTTCTGTTTGGATGTGTTAAACAAAAATTAACAATTTCAGGTATTTACCCACAATATTATTTTCCAAAAAATTTCTCCCATTTATTTACCATCATAATTTCATAAAGGCGCACATTACACAAATTAAACGATCTCCCTCCATTTTTTTACTTAAAACCCATTGCTTGGAATTTAAAAAATAAAAATTCTAACCAATCAGGTAGTTCTGTCGAAGATTGCTTTATTTTATTAATATTTAAAATAGATAATAATTAGTAGGTTAAATTCAATGTTCTGAAAACAGGACCGGACAATGACCCGTTCAAGGGTCCGGTTTCTGGTTTGACCGGTTGGACCGGTTGGATCGTAATTTGTAAAAAAAAATTTAGTCCTTGAAGGTTTGAAATTCATCAAAAACACCCATATAATACTCCCTTAAGCTTTGAAATATATCTAAAACACCCCTATCGCGCGAAGATTCTGGTGAGTGGTGGCAGCAGCGATGATCGACGGCCAATCGAAGCTGGAATCTTGGGGCTTTTGATGTGTAGGTTCCGGCAACTCTGATGGTGGTGCTATGGAGTTCCATCGACGTCGGAACTCGCCGGAATCAGCAAAAGAAATCCGACGTCGCGTGAACTTTAGGTGGACGGCGATCAACGTAGGCTGGACGACGGCGACTGAAAATGGATGGGTTTGGTCATGGAGATGTCGTCCGTCGAATGGGGGTGTTTTCTCCATCAAAAGATGTCGGAATCCGGTGGAGTTTAGCTGCAATTGGAACGCAATTGGACTGTGATTCGGCACTATTCCAGCGGTCCAACCGCGGTCCAATCCGATTTAAATCAAAACAGCAATTTTTTATATATATCGGACCGAATTTATTGCCGGTTGCCGGTCGAACCGGTCCGACCGGGCGGTCCGGTCCGGTTTTCAAAACATTGGTTAAATTAACCATATCATTCATACGAGTCGTATTTAACATGCATTGGCCTTCCTTGAGTTAAAGGCCTCACTATATATGTATCATTAACAACTTATTATTAATTTAATTATTTTTTATTAATAATAAAAATAACATTAGTATCTCTCTAAATAAGGTCCATTTAATATTAATTGTTCCTGCACTAAATATTCATAATCTCCATAATTTACTCTTACAAGTGAAACTTCTATATTATACTTTATATACATTGAACAATAGTACTGTGTCAGTAATTGATTGGATTAATTATTATAAGAATTCACTTAATAAATGAAATATTTATACTTCAAGATTATTTTCTAATTAAAGATTAGTCAAATTTTATTAAAATTTTTTCTTTTTTAAAGCTCTAACAGAAAGTACATATTCTATGATTTGTATTAACTATTTTTCTTTGTTAATATCCTTTCAATAAAATATATATATAAAAGATAATATGAAAAGAGATTATATTCGTTAGTTTCAAAATTTTAAAATAGTACACATTCTATTTTAAGATAACTACAATTAATTTTAATAATAACACTACTCATCCCAAAATATATCCCAAGAATCACATCGCAAATGATGTGTTAAATGAGGCAATGCCACGTATAGTGATTTTTGGGATATGTTTAGTATTACTCATTAACCCAATGTATTGGGGTTTACTAGTCACTTATAATAACATGTAAATAAGATGACAGGGGTATTATATACATTTTATTAAAAAGTTTCACTTGATTGGACTAAAGTGTTTTTATCTCGTAATACTGAAGATAAGTGTAATATACTTCAAACTTTAAGGATATGGAAGTGAAAATAACCCTTTTTCTTGAACGTTATTTTATCATCCCAAACCTAGACCTGGCAAAACGAGTTTGGACTCGCAGGTCGACCCTAAACTCGGATAAAAAATATAGGATACGGGTCTTTAATTTTGGACCCATTTTTACTCAACCCTTCTCGGCCCGGCTCGTTTTTGTAACGGGTAAGACGGGTACACCCATAGGTACCCATTTGTTTTTAAAAAAAAAAAAAAAAAAAAAAAAAAAAAAAAAAAAAAAAAAAAAAACCCTTTTCGCTTTTTAGTTTTCCCCAAATCAGGAAATCCCTAACCCTCAACAAACATCAATCATCTCTCAAACTCAAATCGAAATCCCTAATGCCACCGTTGCCACTTCTCCTGTCTCCACTCTCGATGCCTGTAGTCTCTCAAACTCACTCACGCAAACACAAATCAAAATCCCTAATGCATCTCCAATCATCGTATTTCCAGACTCCAATCTCCAAGTCTCCAATCGAAATCAAAATCCAAGGTATGTGTATCCTAACTCACACTCATTCTCATCTTTAACACTCACTCACTCTCATCCTCTGTTTAGCTCACTCACACTTATCTCTAGACTACAATCTCCACGTCTTGCTATTGTTTGCTCCTCAAGGACATCGAACTATTCTTTAAATGATGAGAGCGCAAAAGCATATTGATTTGAAGGGATAAAAGATGAAGGAAAGTCTTGGCTAGTGAGGTCGGGCAATCCCAGTAGAGATACCAAAAATGATGGGTCTTCAATGTTATTCCTTATAATATCACCATAACCCTTGAAGTAATAATAATAAATATTGAACATGGTGGTTTTTTGGTTCCAAAAAAGTGTAGTTGGGATGTCATTATTTTCTTTTTGCACCTAAGTATAAAAGTGTTGGTGTTTGCAATGAGAAGTGTAATGTTTTCACTTTTGGTGTATTGCTACTTGTTCTATTGACTGGATAAAAAATATTTGATTCTTCTCATTGTGAAAATGGGGATGATTCATGGTTATTGTAGCATGTGAAGAATTGTATTGGTCAAAATGATAGGTTTATTGAGATAATAAATCTTCTAATTGTTCAGTAAAGAATATATAATGTGGGGTTATTGTAAGGTGGTGTCGTGGTGGGGTTGTTTTGGTTTAGATAGTTGTGTTGCTGTTGTTGGCTGTTGCGTTTAGATGTAGAATAAAATGTGTAGTGATATGGTTTTGATAGTTGTGTTGTTGTTGTTGGCTGCTGCGTTTGGAACTTTCGATGTAGAAATAAAATGTGTAGTGATGTTTAGTCTTACGTTATTTTGCCCTTAAAATAACTCATTAGCACAAGTTGGATTATTCCTTTCTCATCTCACTAAGGTGAAAAGAGATGCACATAAAGAAGAAGAATAGGTTTCCTTTAATCTTTTGAGTTTTGTTGTATGGTCTTGGAGTTTAATATAAACTGAAACCAAAACAAAGCTTATATTTTTCTGTTTGATTTGTATGAAAATTTTGGACATCATACATTCATGTCTTTGATTGTTTTTAAGTTTATGGTGTTTGGCATGCCTTTAAATTATTGATTTTTTTTTTTTAAGGAAGTCTCAAGTATTGATTGTGGGGGTATAATTGTAAAAAATGATAACTATAGGAATTTTGGGGGTGTAACTGCAAAAATTAAAAATTGGAGAGAGAAAAAATGAGTACCCGCAGGTCCACCTGTACCCACATAGGGTAGAGTCTGGGCCTAATATTTTGGACCCGTACCCATTTGGACCCGACCCTAACTCAACCCACTCGCTTATTTTGCCAGGTCTATGGCCAAACCCGATCCACTACAAGCTTCCCCCAAATTATTGTTAAGTTTTTCAAATCAAACTGTGAAATATAACATTATAGAATTCTTATAATTAATTTTGTACGAGAATATTAGACCATATACCTAAATGCATAAAGTTTCATCTAATTATTAGACAATGTATTATCTATTATGTGAAATATAATTAATCTTTCCACTAAAGTTTCATCTTAAAACCGTCTACAAATATTAATAAAGCATGAGGCATGACAACACCACATTTTACCGTTAAATTTTATAAATTTATATTTTAAAAATTTAAAAGTAGTATTAGCTCTATTGAATTTTAATATAAAGATTAGGGGACAAAAAATGAGACTATTTTTTTTTTTTTTTACATTGAATGATAATAGAAATTAGGAAGAATACTATAGCAAGTACGTTAAAATTTTAAAAAATTAAATAGGTAATCAAAATATTACATCTTATTTATTATATTTTTTTTTTTGTACTTTATTACAAAAAATTACTAAAGTATATTTAATTAAAAAGTCAAACTGGTCAAACAGACCAAATTGGGTTCGTGTCATGTTATCAAGTCGAGTTCAATTTTACCGGGCATAATTGTATATAGAAACTGATCAAATTCGTCCCCATAAATTCAAGCGTCTCTCTTGGCCCTCTCAATTGTTGAACTTACTTTGGCCCCCAAAAATGAAGTTTTTCTGGTCCCCTAAGTCATTGAACATTACATTTTCGTTACCAAGACAAGAAGGCAAGAATAAATTTGTTGGCCCTCTGGCTGTGGGTAAACTAACAATTACTTAAAAAGGGTGGCAAGTTGCACAACTAAATCACAAATCTATTCACAATAAGTTAACAAATTAAGTGGGCTTGATCTATGTTGTCACCTTGATGTTGAAATTGGCACCCAAATGGAAGCTGTGGTCAAAGGCATAGACTTCCAGTACAGAGTAAGCTTCCACTTCTCATTTTGCACCCAATAGCCTCCTCTGAAGAGACTCACCAAGGACTTGGCTTGGGAAATGTTGCAAAAACTCAAAGTTATTGGCTTGAATGCTCTTAAACAATCAAACCCTTTTCCCCATTGCCTTTTCTCTTCATTTGCAGAAGGAAATTGGCCCAAAGTGTCAAGAATTCTGATCCCTATAAACTCCTTTTCTATCTGTCTTAATCCTGCTTCACGGTTCTTGCAAAAACTGCTCACAAGGGAATCAGAAAGAGCTGTGTAATGGTGAAGGGCCTCACAGAAAAACTCTACAAATGACATCGATGGAGTTCTTGTAAACCTGAAAAGTTCTTCCTCTACTAAAATGAGGATTTTTGGTGAGAGTTTTGTTACACCATCTATGAAAGTTTTCACCTGGGATAAATTTCTTTTCGGTATGTGAAGTTGATGCATCATGCAATTGGCTATCAGGGTATGGCCAGTGTTGATTGATTCAAAATCGTTGTCACTCACTATCACCAAATGGTCAATTACGAATGGAAAATGGATTGAATCTGCAAATTCTTTGAGCCTTCTTCCTGTTTGCTGAACAGAGATTAGATTTTTCTGGTCAGTTATGGTGGCTGTTACTCTGAGAGAAACAACATTCTTTCTTGCTGCAAGATCAGCCATCAAAGGCGGCCATTGAATCCCCTCCATGATATCGAAATCAATGACATGAATCTCTTGGTCACCCTCTGTGGCTTCTAGGATTGCTTGGTTGGCTGTGAAGTGAGCAAATTTTACATAAGGGGAGAGTTCCTGGAGTACGTGAAAGATAGGCAAAATGTCTGCCTGTCTAGTAACAGTCTCCCGGAACATTTCAGGAGCATCTATGCTCCTATGAAACAGACCCTGAGTGAAGAACAAAGCCAACCTATTAAAAGGGTTATCGCCATTTTCTCCATCATTCAAAAGACAGTTGAGCTTTGCAACAATGGCTAAAGACAGAACCCAATTTCGTGCTTCAACAGCTTCAGCTCCCATCACCAAAAGATCAATTACACTGCTGTCTTCAACCAACTCACTGCCTTGTGTTGCTTGAACCATTCCAGGACTCATCAGTTCTTTTTCCGGGGAACTTCCGGGACTGGCACTCACTGAATCCTGACTAATGGAAGCAAAATCCATGAGTTCTGTCTCTATCTGGAGCAATCTTACCAGGTTCTCATTGCCAAGAATCTCATCACCAGGAATGGTGTTTCCGGAGATGAGATCTTCTCCCTGTAAAAAGCATTCAGTGCCCAATCTATAAGCCTGGAGCTTTTCCATGAAGCTTGGTTCAACCAGGCAATGGACTTAATCGAGCTCCATTAAATCAAGGAATGAAGAATTATATAATTTATTCTTGGAAGAGTAGATAATTAGGTGGAGTAGCTAGCAGGATTTGAACCTTGAAAGCTCTAAAATTTAAAAGTATCCATGCTGTATATAATAAAACAACTTGATGTGAAAAGATACCTTATGTTACTGGAATACCTAACACTCAGTCAATTTTTTCCTCATTAATTATGTTTCCTTTTAAGAAACCAACCTTGTAATGATATGATAAAGCATCTAAAAATCCAATGTAAAGATCCATCTCTAATCAATGAAATAAATCTTGTTTAGATTTACAGATGAGAGAGAAATTCACTAGTTGTACAAATACCAAATAATTGAATATATATCTGATATAATTTAGAAAACGCTCCATTAAGAGTGTTGATAGAGGGTAATAGAAACGCCAAACACACTCGAAAAGATAGGTAAAGCTCGCCGTCCTAGAAAGAATTCGAAACCCACTTGAATTTACATTGATATCATGCATTAGAGTTACATACATTAGTTTTTCTATGATAATAATGACTTATTACTGCATGTTTAAAAATTATTTACATAACCCTCCAATAAATTAAGATCTATCTTCTTAATCTTTTGGCAACTTTGGATGCAATTACCAACCCTGAAATGTGATCAAAGGAAGCAAAATCCATTCAGCAAACTTGACATTTCTTAACTAATATTATCAAGAGCAAATGTACCATACTAATCACCTTAGCAAACATATATTTTTTTTATATGAGAATACAGCCACATATGGATTCATATCTTTGGTGAGAATTTTCCAAGTATAATTTTGTCCTTGAGCTATTAATTTAAGTTTAAGATATGAGAAGAGACAAAAGAGGATGAAATCATCGATAAATATTGAAGAAGCATAAAACATGTGTAGGGCACATGAAGGTCTCAATATATTAATGCGAGTGCCAAAATTTAGAAACCTGGCTAGAGATATTTCAGATTATTCTTTACTCCCAGGAGCTTTGGGACTTAATTAGAATAGTCAACTTGACTTGTATAAAAGTTCAATATCTTATTTCTTTTGTTTGTTTTTGAGAAATGGGATTCTTATTAGACTTAAAAGAATATTAACAGTGGGTTATCTAACACGTTATCAGAGTTAAATATATTATATTCGAACTGTTAGAATCTCACACCGACTTGGTACGTTTAAACCTACTGGTTTGTAAAAACAGGTAATCCTTCCATTCAATAAAATCTTATTGGGTAAGAAGTCAGATTTACATCAAATTCTATCACGAACCTCCCGATTCATGTATCAGAGAAAGTCTTTTGTGCAAGAGATATACATACAACCAAGCAATAAAGACTTTTGTTTTTTTGTGAGAAGCATGATTCTTGTTAGACTTAAAATTAATGTCGGGTTATTTACCAAGTTATTAGAGTTAAATATTTCATGTTTGAATCTTCACTTATCACCATAAATGCGCATACAACCAACCAATAAAGACACGCCACATTAACACGTATGTCATATATATGCTCTCTTATTGAATGGTTATATATGCATGCTTCCATTGCACATAAATTATTTTCAACTCATTGATGTAATTCAAAATTTATGGTAGGTAAATGAATTCCCACTTCAATCTCCGGTGCTATTAAAAGCTAGTAGTTGAGTATTATTATAACATTCAAGACCAAAGAAGTCATTATATATATACACTATGATGAGGTCATGGAAGGAAGATATATAAATGAAGAATCTTTGCCAAGCCACATGCAATTTGTCTTTAAATAGCAACCTAATGTTCAAAATAAACTATAAAATACAGATTGATTTAGTCATTTAGTCCTCCAGTTGTTAAGGGATCATATGTTATTTTATACCATGGGAAAAGGATATAAGATTAATTTGTCTAATTCGGGTACTCACCGACCAAAACTTAGTTTACAAATCCACCTCAACAGAATATCATTATTCATTAATATGCACCTAACTAATTAAGGGTTTCTTTTGAATATTGATATATGAGAGTCCATGAATATTATGTCATTTTAATTAATATTAGAAGGGAACAAGTCACATCAAAATACATTTAAGATGGTGACCAAGCTAGTATAACTTAGTGGGCAGTTTGCCTCATGATTAAGAACGATATTACAGTGTTGGAATAACGTTACTACATCGACTCAAATATTGGATACTTCAAACGATTATTGACCCTTTGATCTTTGAAAGCTTTGATGGTTTTCAATGGTTGAGATGTGTAATGCTACTCCAACAATATAGTTGTTTCATTGTATTAATATTTTGAAGGGCAATAATATGGTATAAAAACGATAAAATAATTGACTTTGAGTATAGTTTATTAACACTCACCTCTTTTATAGATACTAATCCAACAATTATTGACATCTAAATATCTAATAACACTATCAAACAGCATGGTTCAATCCATCACCAAAATTTGGAGTCATTACTAAACATTTTAGATAACATTCAAGATGTTTTGTTTCAAACAATGTGTTATCATTTGTAGTATAATTAGATGACTTATTACTTCGACAAATTACATAAAAAAATTTAAAAATAAAAATAAAAATGATAGTATTTAGAGTATATAATATTATTTCAAATATTTATAAAAAAAAAAAAAAATTAACATAATTTTATTGTAAATAGCAACTTTCTAATTTCTACAACATTCCGATAAAATCCCGGGCCAGGCCACCAGTTAGGCCCGGCCCAAGTATACTCTGGATCTAGAATTCTAAGTGAGCTCCAATCGGACATAACCCCAAGCTAGGCCAACTCTGGGCCGGGCTCTTTCACCATTCCTAAATTTCTCATTCAAATGGAAACTCAATATCCAATTTTGGGAAACAAATGCAAGGTGAGTAATGTAATAAATCCTGATCATCAGCAAAAATGCAAAATGCTCAAGAAATCAGGTGATATCAAATATTTGGTCCACAAGCATAGCATTGAAATATAAATTTCAAAAAACAGAACAACAAAATATGAAGTACCAAAACAAACTCTCCATGATTTATACAGTAATGAACAACCGGTGCTTTTTACATAAAAAGTTATAAATCCAACATACAAACTTTCTGTTATAGTATAAAACTTGCGTCTCCTTATCTCATATTTTTATATTTATGTATACTGCTTAAAAAACGCATTTCGGCTGCATGGCGTGAAACCACAATTTAAAAACCAAATTTTCTGTACAATATGTACAAAGGAGTATTAACATTAGCTGAGCTTACCCTGTTGAACCTCTGCTGCCAGGTTCTGCAGTAGAATAATTATTTGCCGATGAGTGGGACTGGGACCTGGCACCTTGTCTAAGCAACAAGTTTTTCATATCTTTGTAACCCCGGAGTTCTTCTAATGCATCAGCAGTTGTCTTTGATGCTACAAGACCAGAAGATGTAATGCTCACAGAAGCACCCTGCTGACTTGAAGTTGCATCGGAGATCTGTCTTGGCTCCTGGGTGGTGCTACTCCACGTCTGAGGTCTGGAGGCTTCTGATAAATTTACTGAACCGGAGAAGTCTTGGCGAAGAGGCGGTGCTTTCTTCAACATACATACAAAGGCACCAACAGCAGCGTCTTGGGATTTCATTGGATATCCACCAGGCTCAAGTGGCTCACATAGATGCCCTTTCTGATCAAATGATTCTGGTCTGGAAGATGAACAGGAGGCGAGTTAACATTGAGTAAAAAAGACTTGAAATTCACTAGCAAATTCATTTGACACATAAATGAGGGCATTAAGCACATGAAGAAAGAGAAATATATTAAGGATCCTGATAGAAAGCATATGTGGTTGAATCTGCATTAAGAGAAGAAATCATTTTCAGATTTATCTTATATACAGCTTGGTTCGCCACTAGGTAACTTTGTTGAGCTGAACTATGTCAGTTCATTCCCAGGTTGACCCTAATCAAAATATCAGTTAACAATTTATAAATGTACCATATGGATAATCTCTTTATCAAATATAAAAGTTGCCCCTAACAGTGGGTTATATCTTTCCTGGAGATGGATCATTTGACCCAGCATCCAGCGACCATTTCTGCGAATTCTATTCATTGATTGTTAATGCAGAATGTATAATTAAATGAGGTTGATTAGGCATAATTAGCATCGCTGTCTTAAATAAAATAAAATAATGTTCACTCTATCTTGGATCTAGGGCATCAACTCTACTAACACTGAACCTAAATCTCAAAAGTTTCTTGGGAAGAAAATTTAAAATGTTTTCAGTAATTACATCACTGTTCAGATATTTCACAACTTAAATTCCAGGGTATAAGAAAACAATCCACTTGTCATGTTTCAACAACATCGTGACAATTGCACACTACTACTTAAAAAATTCTATACACATTTCAGCTAACTAAGATATTTGTATTATTCTTAATGGTACAAGTTCTTTGTCTCAATAACCACACCATACCATTGAATGGGGCCTTAACAGCAGCATCACACCAAAGTATCATAATGCCAGTCCACTATAGCAAAAAGCAATCAGCTAGTCTTGTTTAAGACCTCATAACACATTATTCAACTAACTGAAGCTTCTAAACATTGAGTACTATCATTATGGAAAACAAACAACTCTCAATGAAAAATATTCTCTCTCTTTTTTTTTTTTTTTTTTTTTCCCCCTCTTCCTGACAATGGATAGACTGTTAGTATGCATGAAATAACTTTGTACCAAAGTGCCTATAATTACTCAATGAGACTTTACCATATCAGTTTGGTGTCATCATCATGAATAAACTTTTCGCAGACCCCATAATTGTTGATAATAAAATCCCTATGTTCATAATGTATGCTGGTCTTATGCATTATAACTGGCTAGTATCCTCCTCAATTCCGTGCGTGGCATGGTATATATTTTTCCAAATCAAAGCCCCAACCTTGTCCTCCTCAGCCAGCAACCAAATTTATACCACAGCAATCACTCCTCATCGAGGTTGCTTTTGCTCATTCATGTAATCACACTTTATAATTATCAAAGTACTAGAAGGCCAATCTAGGCCCAAACATGTTTGAGAACAACCCACATTGAATGAACCAAGATCCATGCCCAGAAAACCTGGCTTTGATTTGACAGAACTACAGCATTGGGTGATTACATGATCAGTTAGTGCGCCCAGCATTACTGATTCAAGACTCAACATCTACTACACTTTGCTCTGACATTTGTGTTTGAATGCTTGTTAGAACCCTTGCTTAGTTCTAAACTAAGTTAAATCTTCATAATATAATATTTCTAACATCAAAACCAAGCACAAGCAATTAATGTTAACACATTGGCTGCCAGTCACCTACCATTATTCAAATGTGATAATTCACAGAACCCATAAGTGTATATTTAGAAACCTAATTTTGATCGCAAATGATGTAAAGGCCTATAAAATGGTCTAGATATTTAATATTCCACCTTTTAATAAAAATCAAAATTCTCTATCTTCAGCATTCTACAATACAACTTTGATAGTTTCCACAAGAAAAATAGGCAATCAATTCAACAGCTGCTAACTTAAGATCTTTATCACCGAAACTTCCTTTATTATCAAAGATCATACCATAGTCTTTGGGCAATCAATCAATAAACTAAAGCATGCAAGCAGCCACCTATAGTTGGCAGAGAAGAAAATGCAAATTCCTTCAAGTCCTAAAAATGGAACAGAATCAACTTCTAAGTCCTACAAAATATGGTGAAAAAATAGCTAGCAGAGTTCCACTTATATTTAGATTCAGAGCTTCCCTACTTTGGAGATGGAGAGCCGGAGTAGGTAAGAAATAGTATTATTAGTACCATGCTAATATATCTCACATATAATTTGCAGGTTTAGCAAGCATGACTAAATGAAGAACCGCAATGGCACAATCAATGCTTTGTTCTTTCAAATTTCTTATGTTTTTATATAAAAGCCAGCTAGATGACTAGGAAGAAAAGTGATAAGGTAATTCTTGAACAAAAGCTCTTCTCTTCTGTGATTTCAAGTATTATCCCTTGGTATGCTAACAAAGTTCAGATATAAGCAGGCTAAGAAATAACTTGGACAAAGTAAGTTGAAGTAATTATTATTAACAGTAAATCACATAAATAATGCAAAACAATTCAAACTAAAAGTAGAATCAAATCAATGAATTTTGACATACCTGCTACTTGAATCTGTCACATCAACATCCTCAACATCAAACGGGCAAGGATACTCGTCATCAAAATCATCCTGGAAAGACCTACTAGAGCTTCTAGAAAAAGAAATTTGTGGAGAGCTGTTGCACGATAACTTCACCCCAGAGCATTTTCGAGAGTCATCTTTCCCAAAAGAGTGAAACTACAACAGGAAGAAAAAGACATCCTAAATGAAGCAAGCACACCTGGGATATTAAATATGATAATAATGACCAAATATAATACCTTCTCAATTCCTGCACCAGTTTGAATCTGACCCATACTTCTATCAATCCTAGAAGTATTGGACCTTGTAATTTTAAGGGGAGGAGACGGAGACCGGTGCTTGCTTGACAATGCAGGGGAATTAGCAAGCTTAGGAGCAGGTAAGCTGAATGGAGCACTTTCAGATCGCAAAAGACCCGTTGACAGACGTCTTCCAGGAATATAGATTGGTGGTGAGGGGGAAGGGGAGGGGGAAAAGCTAGGAGATGGATAGTACTCATCAAAACTTGTACGTTTCTTCTGAACTAGAGATGTTTCAGGCGGATGTGGAGGCAAGTTGGTAGGGGGGTAACGGCGGGAAGCATGTGGTTCTGAATGGGTGGGTGAAGGTGAGAAAGAAATTGAAGGTGGAGAGGCCTTATAATGGTCATAGCTCCAACTGTGGGGTCGTGACAATGGCAATGACGACGGTGAGCAATGTGACATAGGAAGAGAGGGGAATCTCTTCAGTGGATCCGCCAATGGGCTCCCAACATAGTCTGGTATAAATTGGGGGGACATAGGGGTTGAAGGCTCAGAGCATACATCCGAAGGTAATGAACGATACAACACTGAAATGCAAAGCCTACCAGAAGAAGTATCAACAGGAGTGAAACCAAAGCGCTGAAATTCTGCCTCTTCTTTACGAGTGAATGGCTCAACAAAAGAAGACACTCTATGACCCAAGGTAAAGGTGCATATTTGTCCAGAGGAATTCAGGTCGCGGAAAATGTTATACCCAGGTAAAAGCCTAACAGTCACATACAACGATCTCAAAAGTAATATTGATTTCTTATACACATTATGCAAAGCATAATTACTCGACCTCCTACTCCCCGAACTACAATCACTGGCCTTCCTACTCTCATACTGCACTATCCATCTCTCTACAATCTTTTCGCTCTTACCCTCACACCCAAGTTCCTCCTGATCAGAACTCCAACCAACCAGACACCTTTCCTTAGAAGAAAAATGCCTAACAAGATCCCTTTTGGGAGAAAAATTCACCTGGTCCCAACCAACCGGTCTCTGCACCAAAATCACATCAACGACCATTGGTTCTGAATTACTCTGGCGCCAGAGATCACAATTCTCTAGCGCAGCAGGGCATTCCCTCAGAGCTAAATTAAACCATTTATCTCTCGGCCTCACGCTAGATGATGACGACGACGAAGAAGACGGGGATAAAGTTTGTTCACCACTAAAGTTATGTGAAGACATATAAGGAGACCTTGATTCAAGTATAATTTGGAGACTCTTAGCATAGAATTCAGTAACAATTTGTTCCATTTTAGCTGCTTCTGAATGCATATTATTATGAGATGATGCCATAACTCAAAAAACTAGCTTCAAACAACACAAACCCTTTAAAAGAAATTCAGATTATAACCTTGTAAAGTTACAACCGTTTGCATTCATACCCCTGCAAGCAAGAACAAAACAAAGCAAAATTCAAACTTTCTTCAGTAACAACATCAAAACACGAAAAGGGTTTTGTAATTTTGTAACAAGAAACTGGAATTCCAAGTTAAATTAGAGTTATAAGATAACTTACTCACCAAGGAGAGTGTGTTCTAATGTGTTTCCATTAGCTAGCAGTTTCAGTTGCTGAGTTGAAGAAGAGAATCAAAGAAAGTTTAAACTTGGGTTCGGAATTTTAATTCGAATCGGATTTTTCTTTTTTAATTTTAATTTATCGGTATTCTCATTGAACTCGAAGTCTAAGTCGAAGAAGCATAAGAAGAAGAAGAAGAAGAAGAAGAGGAGGAGGAGAAAGTGCGGGCCATTGGCTGAGGTTTTGATTTGATTTGATTTAATCAAGAAATATTTGTGAAAGATCAGGGTCCGTTGTGATCTCGACACGTCATATGTTGTCCCACGTAACTGGTGGTTCCTCATTTTCCTGTATGTCTGGAATTTTTATGCCATAGGTGATTCTCACCATGGACCTTTTTGGTAGTTTGTGGGCCAAAGTTGAGCCTTAATTTGGAGGGTCCAATTTTATGATTAAGGGCCCGTTATCCCATGAAAGAATCATCATTACTATTCGTTGAATTTAAGAATACCCGAAATTATAATCTATGAATTAAAGTTCTAAAAATTTAAAAAATCAAGCTCCCTAGTTGAAATCGATACACATTCTTGATTTTTAAGAGTATTAGATCGTATAATTATGTCATATCAATTATTATATTACTTGGAAAGCAAAATTGGAATACTAGTTTTGTAAATCATAGTATTATTAATGTATAATTTTTTTTCATTTTTTGAATTCTTGATTTCACAAAAACTTTCTTTCATACCAAATGTAACCTCGGGATATAAGTTTCTACTCCAATAAAAAGAAGCGATACAATGTACTTAACTATTTATAAAGCACTCGGCGTGTTTCAAAAGCCCCCATTTTTTTTTTTTTAATACAAATTTTGGCACAATTTTTTAGTCATTACATTCATGCATTTAAATGGTTGAGATTTCATCTAAATTATATTATTTTCGAGAATATCAATTATGCAAGCTGAGATGAATCTCAACTCTCAGAAATATCGTATCCAATAGCTCATAAATTGTATCATAATTCATATAATTAAAATAACAAAAAAAGGTTGTTGCCTACAACTTGCCCATATCAGTTTACATGTATAAAAAGTTGGCTTGGACTTATTTTGATCCATTTACATTGAATTGCATATTCTCATGGCCTAGCCCAAGCCTAAGCCCAATTTAATAATTTGAGAGCTTAGAATTTGTTGGTATTAATTAACCAATAATGCTAGGGACACCGAAAATTTTACACCGAAAATGTGTACCGGCCTACATGTAACACGCATCTGATTTGTTTAACAATTTTTTTCTAGTGAACGGCCGTCCATCAAATTTGGACGGCTGTTCACTCACATGGACGCCCGTCCATATACAAGGGACGGGCGTCCCCATTTAAAGGACGCCCGTCCATAAATAAAATATGAAAATAAAAAAAAAAAACTTTGGAGACGGCCGTNAATCATTAAAGTCTTTGTTAATGTTGCTATCAACTACCGAATAATGTTAGGGGCACCGAAAATTTTACACCGAAAATGTGTATCGGTTTACGTGTAATATGTATCTGATTTGTTTAACAATTTTTTTCTAGTGAACGACCGTCCATCAAATTTGGACGGGCGTTCATCCATATACAAGGGACGGGCGTCCCCATTTAAAGGATGTCCGTCCATAAATAAAATATGAAAAAAAAACTTTGGGAACGGCCGTCCATAAATTTTGGACGCTCGTCCATACTTAAAAAAAAAAAAAAAAAACGTTTGGATACTTTAAAAAAAAAAAATTCGTCTTCTTCGTCTTCATTCCCCAGCTCCTGGGTTCTCATGTTAGTTCTTCGTCTGAGCATTTTGTTGTACAAGAAATTATAAGAACTGAAGGTGCTCATCTTTAAAATAATAGCCAAAATCCTGATAATGCCAAGAGCAAGAAGCTAGGCTTGCAAGTTGTATCTGGTTTAAGCTCAGAGCTCACCAGTGTGAAGAAATCTGCTGCCATGGATTCTGACGTGCTCAGCAGTGATGTGTCCAAGCTTTCTAGAGCAAAATTGGATATATCCCTCTCATGGCCTTTTCAATTTTCCTCCTGGGGTTCATCCTGTGCCTCTGGAAATACATATTCAGGGAGTGGATATATCCAATTTTGATGCAAGGATGCAAGCCATGACGAAACCCATATATACTACAATTGTCCAACATGCGAAGAATGGAAAACCTGTGCTTGTATTTGTCCCTTCAAGAAAATATGTGTAGTATCTGTAGAAACCAAAATAATGGCTAATGGACGCCCGTCCAAACGTTTTTTTTTTTTTTTAAAGTATGGACGGGCGTCCATTCCTAATGGACGCCCGTCCAAACATAAGGGACGACCTTCCAAAATTTATGGACGGCCGTCCCCAAAGTTTTTTTTATTTATTATTTTCATATTTTATTTATGGACGGGCATCCTTTAAATGGGGACGCCCGTCCCTTGTATATGGACGTCCGTCCATATATTATGGACGGGCGTCCATGTGAGTGAACGGCCGTCCAAATTTGATGGATGGTCGTTCACTAGAAAAAAATTGTTAAACAAATCAGATGCGTGTTACACGTAGGTCGGTACACATTTTCGGTATAAAATTTTCGGTGTCCCTAGCATTATTGTTAATTAACTTATGATATAATTACAAAAATTCTAAATTGTCATTTTAATACTTAAAACTTAACGGCAAATGGACTTATATTATTTACAAAACCTTAGGGGAATTTTTGTTATTCCATTATATACACCTCAAGGGATTAATGTCATTAACTCATTAATTAATGAACAGTTAGCTTAACCTGCGATAATAATAACTGAAGACTTTTTTAAAGCAAAAGAGAGACTTCAATTTCATAGTATCTTTAATTAAAGTGATGAAAATTAAAGGCAAAGTTGCCACTTTTGAAAATTAGGAGAGAAATCTATAAAAAGAATTTTAGGTTTCACACCTATTTATGCTTTTTGAATTTTGACTCTTGATTAATTTATTTAATTCCAATTTCAAAATAATTAATGGAGTTACCATGAAGTAATTTCTCGATTTTAATTCGGTTCAACTTAGTGTAAGATTATTATATCTTGTCTTATAATTGCTTATTGGATAATTTATATGATATTGGTTTTTTAAATTAGTATAATATAATAAAGTTACAATAGAGGACTCAAATATATTTATTGAATTTTGGAAAGTATATAGATAATGGGATTATTAATTGAATGGTGATTCATAGATCCTCAAAGGTTTTCGGATTATTTACAACTTTAATTTGACTTTAATTAAATTAAATGAAAATTAATTCCATCATTTAGTTCATAAAGTTTTGATTGTGTTTGACCTTTATCTTTATTAATTTATAATATCTCCCTTAATTTTCATTAACTTTAAATTTGCAATTCCCTTTTCATGTCCACTTGTCTTCTTTGATCCCTCCATGAGTTGCCATTTTCATTGTCTCCAATCGCTCCTTAATTTCCTTTCTCCCAAAACTTCAGGGAACCTTCCTCATTATTTCCTTTCAAAATGATGCTCAATTTTAATAATAATAGCAATTATAATTATTATTATTATTTAATTTCGTGGTTTGACCCAATTAATTTTTATTTTTTTTTCCACATATTCTGTAAACGATAAAATCTACTCTTGATTCGGAAGGGACAGATTTTGTGTGAATTGAGCCACTAACAATTGGATGGACTTGCAAAAAAAGAAAGCATGAACGTGAAGGCTCAGGAGACATTAGTGTGGTGTCTATCGTAGGCACTCCAATGCTCAAGTCGGTACAATTGACGGTATTTTAGTGAGGGTTTGGAGTGGAAAAGGGTTTACCGTGAATGTGGCTAGGGCAAGACTTACATAAAGTGGTCAGAGCATAGCTTTGTAGAGGCTAAGGGTGGTAAAGTTAGTTAGAACTAAGCTTTTATTATGATGGGGAAAGACGAGATTATTGAGGGCAAGAATTTAAAAGTCAGAGCTATGGGTTGGATGTGAATCAATAATGAGGGGTTTGACCCCTGTTTATATAGTGAATCGAGGAAGTTGTAGTCCTAATAAAACATTAAGTCCTACTTGGTGTGGGATTATGAATTAGGAAGAAAGTCTTATTACTTGCTTTTATTATATTAGAAATATCAATTCATGTAGGATTCGAGATCTTAAATAAATTGGAAAGTAAAGAGGATTCTGATTTCTATTTTGGGATGAATGTGGACTAATGGGCTGAAGCTCGCTTTAGCTTAACTTGTAGATAGACCCACCTCATGGAGTGGCCTAAAGTGCAAGTTGGCCTAGTTCGTAGGGTGGCCCTGCTCATAGAGAGACCGAACTCATAAAGTAGCCTAACTCGGGATACAAGTTTCTATTGAATTAAAAACTTTCTTTTTTGAATTTCTGATTTCACAAAAACTTTCTTTAATACCAAATGTAACTCGATATACAAGTTTCTACTGCATTAAAAAGTGGCGATACAATGCACTTAACTACTTATAAAGCACTCGTCGTGTTTTAAGAGCTTCCATTTTTTTTTTTTTTTTTTTTTAATATACACAAATTTTGGCACAATTTGTTAGTCATAACATTGATGCATTTAAATGGTTGAGATTTCATCTAAATTATATTATTTTCAAGAATATCAGTTATGTAAGCTGAACTGAATCTCAACTATCAGAAATATTATATCCAATAGCTCATAAATGGTATCATATTTCGTGTAGAAAACGGTAGTTGCCTTCAACTTGCCTTTATTAGTTTACATGTATAAAAAGTTGGTTTCGACTTATTTTCATCCATTTACATTGAATTGCTGTCATCATGGCCCAGTCCAAGTCTAAGTCCAAGCCCAAGCCCCAAGCCCAAGTTGATTATGTGAGACCTCAATACTAAAGGGTAAAACTAAAGGTATAAAAAAATTTATAAAAATTTCTTATACAAAGTGATATGACAGAAGATGATTGGAACAAAGTGATATGACAGGAGATGATTGGAAGAGTGAATATGAAGAGTTTGACTTTTTGTATTTACTCTTCTATTAATTTTCTGTCACATTACTTTGTATAAGAAATTTTTGTAAATTTCTTTGTACCTCTAACATTATTGAATATTTAATCCCTATGAGATATGATACAATAGCAAAAATAATAACAAAAATTCTTATGAGATTTTCAAAATAACATAAATCCCTTACTATTAATAAACTATTATTGAGCCATTAAAACTTACGTTGTTATGAGTTAGTAAACATTTCCAAATTGCCCTCCTACCATTTTAACAGCTAAAACTTAACAGTAAATTGACTTATATTATTTACAAGACCTTAAGGGAATATTTGTTATTTCATTATACCCCAAGGATGTGTTTGGTTTAGGGAAGTTGTATTATTGGAAAGATAGATTACCAGTGAATCTTTAAATAAATGTGTTTGGTTGGTTGGAATAAATTGGTGGGTATGTTATAATAATATATTTGGTTGGAAGGATAAATGAGTGGGTATGTTATATAAATTACTAAATTGCCCTCTTTTTTAAATAATAATATAATATCATTTTTATTATTATTTTATTCTATTATTTTTTAAATTATTTCTTTTAACCCCCTATATTTGAAATTTTGCTAAAACACCCCAACCATATAAAACTTTAATTTGTAGCAAAATCATCCTCACCCACCCCAAGCCACTGCTGACAACCAACCACCACCATCGGCAGCCGCCATAATGGCCCATGACCGGCCGGATATGGCTGGTCGTGCGCTGGTAAGGCCTAATCCGACCATGTATCAAAGATCGATGGTCGAAAACGTCTCTACCAGCACACAACTAGCAGGATCCCGTTGGTCTTGCCCCAATATGATGACTTTCGCCGGCAACCAGTGGTGGTGGCTAGCGGCTGGCGATGGTCTTGGTTGGCTGGCGGTATTTTGTTAACTTTCAAACTTTTTTGTGGCTAGGGTGTTATAGCTATATTTTCAAATGTAGGGAGTCTGGATAATTGTTATTTGGTAGACATATGAGGGCAAATGTGTTTGAAAATGATAAAAGATTAAGGGCAAAATAGGGTCAAAATTAGGATTACCTCGGTAATCTTACATTAACACCCCTTGGGAAGGTAATCTAATTACCCCTGATATTACCAATAGCAAACACTATTTACAATAAAAGATTACGTAATATTTTATTACTTAACAACCAAACGAGAGAATCTGAAAAATTAAACAAAAATTACAAGATTAATCTTATATCACCCCGAACCAAACGCAACCCAAGGGATTAATGTCATTAACTCATTAATTAATGAACAATTAGCTTAATTTGTGATAAAAATAACTTAAGACTTCTTTAAAGCAAAAGAGAGACTTCAATTTCATAGCAACTTTATAAAAATATATATATATATAAATAATGAAAATTAAAGTCAAAGTTGCTACTTTTGAAAATTAGGAGAGAATTAAATTTGCTTTTACTTTTAGGAGAGAAGATATAACCAATAGACCTAAAATATATTTTTTTTAAATAATTTTTTTTTTTTTACTAAAACTTATTAAAATAATTTTTTTTAAATAAAAATGTTTAAAATTAAAAAATAATAATTGAAAAATGATTATATTTTTAGAAAGCATGGAATTTTTATTATTTTTATTAACGGTAACTCAACATATTCAACTAAATCTATTGCAATCCAATAAAATAGAGTTACAATAGAGGACACAAATATATTTATTTAATTTTGGAAAGTATATAGATAATGGGATTATTAATTGAAGGGTGATTCATAGATCCTCAAAGGTTTTTTTGGATTATTTACAACTTTTATTTGACTTTAATTAAATTAAATGAAAATTAATTCAATCATTTAGTTCATAAAGTTTTTATCGTGTTTGACCTTTATCTTTATTAATCTATAATATCTACCTTAATTTGCCTTAACTTTAAATTTGCAATTCCCTTTTCACTTTCCACTTGTCTTCTTTGATCCATCCATGAGTTGCCATTTTCATTGTCTCCAATCGTTCCTTATTTTCCTTTCTCCCAAACTTCAGGGAACCTTCTCCATTATTTCCTTAATTTTAATTGGAATTATTTTTATTTTTTTCTTTTTAATTTCGTGGTTTAACGCAATTAATTTCTTCTATTTTGTTTCACAAATTCAAAGTTACATTGCATGTGAATCACGATACCTTTTTAACATGAATTTTTATTTAATTAGTCACGAAATTAATCATTCCAAATTGATTTATGTACAATTAATCAATCATAAAGTACGTATATCAATTTCAAACACGTATATTTTTACGATTCCAAAGTAATATTTCTTAGTGCAATGATATCGTTAATGTGATACCACAAGAGATAAAAATACTCTTTATAAAGTATATTTAAATTTGTGAATTGTTCATCAAATTCTTTTTCTAGTTCTTGATATAACGATTTGAATTGATTATACACATTATATTGCAATAAATATAATAAGATGGGCAAATACTTCTAAAAAAGACACTAATCAAGAAAGAATATTAATTACTAATCTATCAATTTATATATAATTAACTCAATACTATTCATTTCTATTAGGTAATTTATATATAATTATCTCAATAATTAACACATATTATTAACACTTGTAATCTCAAAAATATTAATAAATACAAATAGTTTATTAATACTTACAAAAAGTCTTGGATATTCCAGTTAATATTCTTCTGCCTTTAAGCTTAGCCTATCCCAGATGCTTCACTTACTATAATGGAAGCTTCAACAAATCCAAAAAAAAAAAAAAAATATTGTTCAGCCATTTGTGTTCTAGGGAAACTTTTTGTTCATTAATCTACATTATCCAAAGTGCTTTACATTCATACATAGATGACTCTCAAGCCATTACAGTTGTGCATGAACATCATGATCTTACGAACTATATTATTATTTTATGTAAATATAAAGCATAGTACGGGTACCATATGCATAGTGCCCGTACTATGCGTTATATTTACACAGGATAAATAAGATCATGAGTAAGCATAGCATTACTCGATAGATATTAAGATCAAATCCTTTTGACCACTCCAGTTTGATGTCTTTTATTTTGTATATAAATAAGTAGATATTTAATTTGTGTAGGATTCAGTGTATGAACCATAAGAAGATGTTAATTAGATTTTTTTTTTTTTTTTTTGGTTGAATATCGTATATACTTCTCTTAGCCTTGACGGATTGTAGGATTCAGTGTATGGACCATAAGAATATGTATCTGCTATAATAGTGAAAAAAAACCTAAGGTGTGAAAGAATAGAGAGGGAGAGTGAGCTACTGTGATGATTCTTTGTAATTGCTATAGAGTTCTGATACTTAATAAAATTATCTATTTGAATTTTGAACGTAATTTTTTAATTGGAATGAATCAGGATATATCGTGTGTTCTGTCTTTTATTTTATATTTTATTTGTGACATATTTAGCTTTCAGATTCAACATTTTTATCTATTAGTTTACAGTTAATTAAACTAGCTATAGCTGGCTAGAAACATTATGATCATAAATTTTCATTTTTCGTGTGCGCATGATTGTGATTGAAAGCTACTGATGAATTTGAATCAGAACTAACCATTGTGTTATATATAGTGTGATTAGGAATTATTTTTGTATTTGTTCATATAAAAGCTCATAATATCAAAAAGAGACTTTTGAACCTTTCGTTCTTCAATTACAGTCTATGAGAGTTAATTACATGTACCCCTCAGGGTTTGGGTCTGGATTAGTTAAAGAGAAATAGACAGTCCAGAGGCAAAATCTGAGCTTTTAAAACTGAGACAATAACAAAATGAAGGGTATCCTAGTTTTAAACAGAAAAATCCTCCCCAATTAACCGATTATGTTATTGTTTAATAAATTCAAGGAGAATAAATCATAATATTTTAAACACAGGACTTAGACATAGTTGATCAAACCTTAGGATGGATATAGACTTTCTCTCCAGTCCATGGTCAAAGTCATTTGGTCAAAAGTTTTCAATAGAGCTATAGCAGATGAGTTTCATGCGACTGAGCTCAATAATTGTCGATCGTGAGCTCGGTATGCTTTAAATTGAGTTGAATCTGACTCATAAATTAGAGAGCATTAATGTTGTAAAAACATCTTGAATTTGGTAAAAACACAGTTTCCAAGTCATCTCAGATTGAGAATTTTTTTCTTTTTTTAACAAATTAATTTTAATGTTTTTGGGGAGCTAGTGGGTTCAAGATATTCTTGATTCATAGAAAGCAACCGCCACTTTCTGCTGCAGCTAGCTATCTACCAGAAAGAGGAAAAAAGAATCATTTTGATACAAACCAAAATTAAATAATAAATAATCAATCAAACCTCAGTGGAAGATCCATACCTTTAATAACAAATTCTCTATATATACAATGCTTAATCCCATCGACCCTTCAGCAAATCAACCTCCTCCAAGAACTCTCAAACTCTAACCCTCTCAACTCCCTCAAAATGTCACCAATTTTCCAGGATTTTCCCGGAAATTTTCCCTCAAGAAAATTGCTTCTATTCAACCACCTTAACCAACAACAGCCGCCACCTACGGCTGCTCCTCCTCCTCCTAATTATCCTGGAACCAGCAGCAGCTTCGACTCGAATATCGTGATGGTCCTCTCAGTCCTCCTGTGTGCCTTAATTTGCTCACTGGGATTGAATGCTTTGATCAGATGTATATTTAAATGCTCAGGATTTGGCGCCTCTGGCAATTCTGATTCCAGGGCCAATTCCTCAGCTCAAATTCCCAAAACAGGAATAAAAAAGAAGGCCCTGAAAACTTTTCCTGTACTGAAGTACTCAGCAGAGCTGAATATGCCAGGATTGGACTCGGAATGTGTTATATGCCTGTCCGAATTTGTTCCCGGAGAGCGCGTGCGCCTCCTGCCGAAATGCAACCATGGATTCCACATGCGCTGCATCGACAAGTGGCTCAAGTCTAATTCTTCTTGCCCCAAATGCAGGCATTGCCTGATTGAAACTTGCCAGAAGATTGTGGGATGTAGCCAGCCGGCTGCAGGCTTGTCAGGATCAGCGGTTGCGCCTGCGCCGCCTGTACAGGAAACAGTTGTGAGCATCAGGGCCCTGGAACCTGAAGGAATATTGCACAACTATGGAGCGCTATGTTAAGTTTGACGATTTTGATTGGTTTAATTTATTTGGTCATATTGATTGAAGATGGCAAAGGCAATTTTCTTGGCAAATTAATTAGCATTACTTATTGGTGTCCTGAAAACTTTGATCAGGAGATCCATCAGAAGTTAAGTGAGCTTTGAATTCTTCTCAAATGTTTCAGAATTGGCCAGTGAGAAAGTCAGTGAAAAATGTAGAAGAAAACAGTTAATTTTTTTTTTTTTTTTTTTTGTAATTATGAATATATAAAGTAGAAATTAAGAGTATTATTTGAGCTTTAAATGATTTGGTTACATCTTAAATGTGGTTCAGCTGATTCGTCAAGATCTATTTATTTAATATTTATTGTTCTTTCACTTTTTAGCACTCAAAAACAATTACATTTAACTCTTAAATTACAAGTTGCTATACTAAAGAGCTTCTTTGTTTATAGTGCATGTAATTTTCTTAATTTTTATCCTTTCTTTTGATGTACAAAGATAGTTTAATTATCTCGGTTTCATAATTAATTTTTAATATGGGTGACTTTCTCCAATTAATTGGAATGCCCTTGGTATTGGTATATTTGATCTTTTCTTCGGCGAATAAATCAAAGGTCCCATAAACACTCTTCTAAACTTTTAAAGATATCATTTCATACATCAATTTTTGATGGAAATTATCATGGATCATCCACACTAATGGTCATTTATTGACGATAACAAATACAAATTTTTTATTTATTTTTTTATTTGTCAATATATGTATCTTTTGTGGGCATCTATTTTCATTTATTTGGTAAAATATTGAAGCTTTACATAACTACAACGTTGAACAATATTAAACATGCTCCCCAACCAAACCTATGACCAGTTAAAATGTTGGTAAAATCTATGACCAGTCAAAATGTTGGTCAAGCTCATCATATATTAAGACTCCAATATATTAATTAGTGATATTAATTAGTTATTAATTAGCCAAAACTGTAGAATAACAACCGTACCNCAATATATGTATCTTTTGTGGGCATCTATTTTCATTTATTTGGTAAAATATTGAAACTTTACATAACTACAACGTTGAACAATATTAAACATGCTCCCCAACCAAACCTATGACCAGTTAAAATGTTGGTAAAATCTATGACCAGTCAAAATGTTGGTCAAGCTCATCACATATTAAGACTCCAATATATTAATTAGTGATATTAATTAGTTATTAATTAGCCAAAACTGTAGAATAACAACCGTGCCTAGCATGATCATGAAAGCACTAATAATAAAAGTGCTTCCAAAAAGTTCGTTAATTAATTATTCTCCACACAAAAGGATAAGCTCTTCCTCTCCCAATACACACACACATAGTGAAATCCAACCCATAAGATAAGGATCAAAACAGCAATACATTCAACAATTGCAAACAATTTAATTCTTTAATATTTGTTGGCCTAGGAAAAACAAAGTATAAAAACTAACTTTTTAAAAAAAGGATAAATATTTTCCTGCTTTATTAATTTGGATTGTGATCAACTTAAAATTTTTAATTAACTTCTTATTTACCTGTAATGGACTACCAATTTGATGTTTTATATTAGGAAGATCATTCTGAGGATCCATGAATAAATTTTGCTTTAGTTTGCAGCCACAAAAAAAGGCTAATATATTACACATGTTGACTGCATGCTGAGATTGAATTAAGATTGCATACATGGCAAAAGGGTCTTTGTGCCTATTTTTCTGGGATTGTGAAACAGCTAGGATCCAGGACTTATAATTTAAAAAAAAAAAAAAAAAAAAAAATGAAGGGTGAGGTGGGATGGGTTATATGAGACATATTCTCAATTATTATGTTGTACATAAGAATAGAACTTACCTTTTTGAGTATTGAGCAAATTTATCTAAGGAAACTAAAGTTACTAAGAGAAGTATAATATATATAACGAATCTGAATCATTGGATCATGATACTATCAATCGTCGAATTATGATCTATAGAAAAATCTATATATATGAGACACATTATCTTGGAATTGTCGGTGAACCCTCAAAATGGACAACTTCAATGATAGAGAACTTGTCTCCTTACAATTTATATTCCTATTGATATGTGATTGGCTCCCAATGCTAAGTTCTTATTATGTAAATTAGATTACAAATCAAAATATATTAAAGGACTAAGGCCTACAAGTGGATGATTATGGCATATTTTCTTATGATATCCTAGTTAACAAGTACAAGTAATTAATTCCAACTTGAAATTAACCCGTAGTACAAAAAAGAGTACTTAATTTGTGTATTATATATATTCATGATTTAAACCAATGGCAGTGTAATCAAATGGATGGAGATCAACTTTTTAACTTCAGATTACCTTGATGAACTACCAAATTGATAGTTTATATTAGCAAAGATCCTTTTGAGAATCCATGGAGAGCCGTTGCTTTAATTTGCAGCCAAACGAAAAGGCTAATATATTGGACCTGCTAATAATATTGCGATCAGACTAAGTTAAACTATTCCATGCATGGGAAAAAGATTATGGCCTAATATTTTGTTTATCACAAAAAGATTAAGAGATTCTAGAAGAAAATCTATTTTTTATAACTACTGAGATTGTGTCACCAAATTCTGGGACATAAATCAGGATGGATGAAGTGGAACTAAGATTTCATACTGTTTTCTTAATAAATGGTATTATATTATTTAAGAACTGATTGTTAATTACAACTTGTATTAGAGTCGGATTTAAGTCTCATTGTTGGAGACGAGCCTGGTGTTGGTGTTGTGCTTGACGCTCTTGATCCTGGGAGATCAAGAGGGCAGTGAGATTTTGCGTCGATGCACATTGCCCCGACGAGGGTAGGCCAAATTTTACATTGGGAAAGGCTTGCCCAGACGTAAAAATTGTGTTTCCTACACTGGGTCTGCACCGGCACAGTACTTTTAATTCTAGTGGCGGAAGTAGAACAAGTATATTATATTGGCTTCGAAATTAAAATTCCTAAGTTGTAACCAGCAAGATAATTGGGATTGTTTAATGAACATCATTGAGCTGCCTACAGATGGATGCATGCGTGAGATGTTTTCTTATAATATCCTTATTAGCAAAAGTACAAGAATTTTATCCCCACTTATCAAATTGGGCAAATCTTTATCCATAAAACTTATGAAATCCTAGTACACAAGTAGATAATTACTTTATCTATTATATGTGCTTATGATTTTAATCAATAATAAATGGTGCAGCACTTGAGATAAACTTTTTTATGAAATTCATAGTCACTTTCATAAACTGCAATTTGATATTTTATATTTGCAGAGATCTTTCTGAGATCATTAGGAGAAGAAAAGGCTAATATATTGGCAAAAAGGGCATTGCCTAAGCATTCGTATCACAAAGAGATAAGAGATTCCTAGAGGAAGATCTTTGTACCCATTTGAGATAGTGTAACAACAAGATTACATAGAGAAGATGGATGAGATGAAGGAGGAGTATCGTATACTCATTTCTTCATTAAAACATTTAATGAAGTGAGGTTGCGTCACTAATTGTAACTTTTCGCGACAAAAATAGTGTTCATCGATCATCAAATTTTTTTCATAATATATATGTATGAATCAAAATCACAACGTTGTGTGGTTTCTATTAATGGGTTGTGGAAGAACAAGATTCAAAACTCTTCAGTCGTGAAAGTGAATAGATACGATGAATGAGGTGAAGATAGGAAAAGATAGAGTGATTTCAGAAATGGAAATTTTTTGAATTAATATCCAAAAATATCAATTGCACAGTGATTAACAGTGTCACTGTAATTATTGATTAGTGATAGATTAAAGTTCCACTAAGTTCATATAATGTAAAGTTGATAGTAACACAACATAATATCAAGAGATATTGGTCATCAAAAAAAAATATCAAGAGATATTTTTATGAGATATTTTTTTGAAAACATTTTTTTTATAAAACCCTTTTCTAGATGTACTGAACTTTTAAATTCATCCCAAAATCATGGCAAGCAAGAAAAAAAAAAGGTTAAACACAAATCAAAATTTTGTCCCTACAAGTGTACTAAAAGGTAAAGGTCAACTACCTCTAGATAGTTTGACGGTTCACTTGGGACTCTTGGGTATATTACTCAAGAGGTCATGAGTTCGAATTCTCACGATTATTAATAAAGGATAGTCATCAGAGGTTTACCTGGTCGTTAAGTTTAAGGCTCTGAAGGACTCGTTGAGGTGTGCGCAAGCTGACTCGAACGCCCCCGAATACAAAAAATAAATAAATAAAATAAAGCACACAAAGATTTGAGACCTGCATGGGCCACCAAACACGTCCAAGTTTTGCGATCTGCCCACGCGATCTAAGAACTCTGATGCGTGCGATCTGCGATCTGACCACGTGATCGAAGAACTCTGATGCGTGCGATATGCGATCTGGCCACGCGATCAAAGAACTCTGATGCGTGCGATCAACGATCTGATCACGCGATCAGAAAACTCTGATGCGTGCGATCTGTGATCTGAGAACTCTGATGCGTGCGATCTGACCACGTAATCTAAGAACTCTGATGCGTGCGATCTGCGATCTGACCACGCGATCAAAGAACTCTGATGCGTGCGATCAACGATCTGACCACGCGATCAGAGAACTCTGATGCGATTGAAGAACTTGGACGCAGGGTTGAGACCTGCATGGGCCACCAAACTGTTGATGCTTGATTTTGGACGCCAACAACTCACACATGCAAAGTGCTAAGAGAGCCTTAGAAATTACATGTGATTGATCCATGAGATTTGAATATGGAGCTGAGATTATATATGTTGCAGAAAATATAAATAATAGGCTGATAAGAGAGGTTTTTATAGTGGTTCGGATGCTTAAAACAGATCCTACATCACTGTTATTTTATTGATCTTTGACTATTTCCATGATATTGCCCGTAAGACATACAAAGATGAAGAAATGCTTTGCTTACAGAGAGAAAGAATTGAATTCAAATATATGTCTAGCTCTCATATGTCCAACCTCCTTTTTCGTGAAGAGAAGTGTCAATTTATACACATTTGAGGTCAATGTAATGAGTGTTTCGCAAGTTGTTTTGACACATAGAAAGCTTTCATTCGTTTTTCTCTTAAAATGAGATAGGGTTGGTATAAGATATCTTTAAGGCGGTATGGGTTTGATAGAAAGTACAATTTGTCTTTTAAGTACTTATTGAACTGACATCAGCCTGACCTTTTAGGCATAACAATATATATTGGAAAGAAAACCACAACAAAATATGTTTTCTAT